TCCATAACAGAATTTGTAAATAAAATAAGTACTAATATGGAAGGGAAGTAAATGGAATTACAGTAGTATCATAACAATTTATGGTAAGCTGTGGGAAGAATGCAACCATAAAAATATAACTGGAAAATAGAGCTAAGAGAGTTAACAATACTGTAAAAAAAAACAGGAAAGGAAAAGCTAAAGAACAAATAGAAAGGACAAATTAAAAAGTCCACATGTCAGGGGCCGCTATTGTGGAGGAGCTGGTAAAGCTGCCACCTGCAGTGCTAGTGTCCCATATGGGTGCATGCTTGGGTCTCGGCCGCTCCACTTTCTGTCCAGCTCCCCGCTAATAGTCTGGGAAAAGCAGCAGGAGATGGCCCACGTGTTTAGTCTCCTGCCTCCCATGTAGGAGACCTGGCTGAAGTTCCTGGCTTCAGTCTTGTCCCACCCTGGCTGAATAATAGATTTATTTTCAGATTTCTGAGGTACTTCATACTTTCTTCCACAGTGGCTGTAGCAGTTTACATTCCCACCAACAGTGGATTAGGGTACCTTTTCCCCTACATCCTTGCCAGCATTTGTTGTTTGTTGATTTTTTTTTTTTTTTGACAGGCAGAGTGGAGAGTGAGAGAGAGAGAGACAGAGAGAAAGGTCTTCCTTTTTGCCGTTGGTTCACCCTCCAATGGCCGCCGCGGCCAGTGCGCTGCGGCCGGCGCACCGCGCTGATCCGATGGCAGGAGCCAGGAGCCAGGTGCTTTTCCTGGTCTCCCATGGGGTGCAGGGCCCAAGCACCTGGGCCATCCTCCACTGCACTCCCTGGCCACAGCAGAGGGCTGGCCTGGAAGAGGGGCAACCGGGACAGAATCCGGCGCCCCGACCGGGACTAGAACCCGGTGTGCCGGCGCCGCTAGGCGGAGGATTAGCCTAGTGAGCCGCGGCGCCGGCCGTTTGTTGATTTCTGTATGAAAGCCATTCTAATTGGGGTGAGGTGAAACCTCACTGGAGTTTTGCTTTGCATTTCCCTGATGGCTGGTTATCCTGAATATTTTTTCATTTGTCTGTTGTCCATTTGAATTTCCTCTTTTGAAAAATGTCTTTTCAAGCACGTTTCCAATTATTAATGAAATTTTTTTTGCTGTTGTTGAGTTTCTTGAGCTCTTAAAAGATTCTGGGTATTAATTCTTTATCAGTTGCATAGTTCTCAAATATTTTCTCCCATTCTTTCGATTGCCTCTTCATTTTGCTGAGTGTTTCCTTTGCAGTGCAGAAGCTTCTCAATTTGATGTAATCCCATTTGTCAGGTTTGGCATTGATAGCTTGTGCTTTTGAGGTCTTTTCCATGAACTCTTTGACAACGCCAATTTCTTGCAGGGTTTCCCTAATGTTCACTAATAGTTTTATGGTTCTAGGTCACAGAGTCAGGTCTTTGTCCTTTTTGAGTTGATTTTTGTGTAAGGGATAACATAGGGGTCTTGCTTTACACTTCTACATGTGGAGATCCAGTTTTCCCAGCCAATCTGTTGAACACAATTTCTTTGTTCCAGGGATTGATTTTAGCTCCTTTGCCAAAAATAAGTTGGTTGTAAGTACATGGATTGATTTCTGGAGTTTCTATTGTTTCCATTGGTTTGTCCATCTGTTTTTGTACGAGTACCAGGCTGTTTGGATTATAACTGCCCTGTAATATGTTTTTAAATTTCTTATTGCAACCCCTCCAACTTTTTTTGTTGTTGTATAAGATTGCTGTAGCTATACTGAATCCTAATCTATGAAAATATGAGCAGTGGATCAGAGCTGTGATAATGAGAGGTTTATTTGCCAAATAAATCCACATGAATATCTTACTCATGTTAGAAATGATCACTTCTTCAGTAATAAGAGGAACAGAGTTTTATTTCAGGAAATAAATAAAGGAACAAACTAACAACATTCTCCATAGTAATAACAATCACAGATAACAATGGTTAAATTTTTGGTGTACTTCTATTCATCACTATGTATTTATAATTTTATAAATTGGGTTCATTTTGTTAATATAAGCTTGAATCTTGACTTTCTCTCTTTGTGATATAATGATAAACATTGCCATCTATTATTAAATTTTTTCCTTCTTCTAAATTTTTAAAATGCATCTATTTGAAAGGAGGGAGAGAGCAGGAGAGAGACAGGGAATGAGAGGGAGTGGGAACAGAGAGGGAGAGAGACAGAGGGGCAAGAAAGAAAGAAAGAAAAATTTCTTGTTCACTGTCTCAAATATCCCCAGTAGCCAAGGCTAGGTCAGGATGAAGTAAGAAGATGGGAACTCAGTTTGGGTCTCCCATGTGGGTAGCAAGAACCCAGCTACTTGAATTATCACCTGCAGGCTCCCAGAGTGTCCTAGAAAGCTGGAATCCAGAATGGACTGGGACTTGAATCCATGCACTGATACAGAATCTAAGTGTCCCAGATGGCATCTTAACCACTGTGCCATATGCCTACCTCTACATATTATTTTGAATGTGACTTTATGTCTGCTCTATATCTGCATCCAATATTGTTGGTTATTAGATGTTAATCACTTTCATTTGATAAATGTAAGAAAAAGGCTTATAATTTCAGTTTTATTTGACTGGCAATTTTTTGAGGTGATGTATTTAGGAATATGGAATTGAGAATAGAAACATTTTAGGGCTTTTGGTTTCTTGGCTATATGACACTCAGATTATTCCAATTTCCTACGTCAGTTCTTTTTTTATCTTTTTTTTTTTTTTTTTGACAGGCAGAGTAGACAGAGAGAGAGACAAAGAGAAAGGTCTTCCTTTGCCGTTGGTTCACCCTCCAATGGCCGCCGCGGCCAGCGCGCTGCGGCCGGCACACCGCGCTGATCTGAAGGCAGGAGCCAGGTGCTTATCCTGGTCTCCCATGGGGTGCAGGGCCCAAGCACCTGGGCCATCCTCCACTGCACTCCCTGGCCACAGCAGAGAGCTTTCCTGGAAGAGGGGCAACTGGGACAGAATCCGGCAGCCCGGCCGGGACTAGAACCCGGTGTGCTGGCGCCGCTAGGTGGAGGACTAGCCTATTGAGCCGCGGCGCTGGCCCCTACGTCAGTTTTAATACTTACTGGAAGATACTATCACTCCTCATGGAGTTGCTAAGTAAAATCAGATTTATAGACAGGAACAGATCTTTGCCTGGGTTTCACCTCCCCTACTTCTTCCATGAGAAGTAATTCCTGGTCAGAACTGCCCCTGGAATTCTTCTCACTTTGTTTTTCCTCTGGATATAAATGAGAAGATTGAGCCCTGTATGTCTGCTGTGAACCAGAGAAGAAAATGGATTCTACTTGAGAGTTTATTGGATTTGAGGCACAGATACAAGAAGATGTGTCCAGTAGTGGTACCACGCTGAGGTGGGAGGAACAGTAGTGCCCCCTGCTGAGGGAATCCATGTAGAACAACCATTATGAAGGTATAGGAAGTTGGACAGTGAGGTAGAACAGCAAAGACTAATGTGAGAGCCAGCAGCACAGGAGGCTCATGCAGGCAGTGCTGCTACTAATCAGCTGTGGTCCTGATACCCTGGCGGGACTGGCACATATCAAGTGCATAGTCATTCAATACTAATTCCAGTCTCCTTTCTGGCATGTCACAAAGAAAGATGTATGGAATGAAGTGAATTGATGCATTAAATAAGATATTGCTCACCATGCATGGAGATCTAAAACACTAATAAAATACATTTCTCTGAGTAAAATATGCCTTCTTGAATATTCCTTAGTCAAGGCACATTTCAAAGGATAAATTAATGTCATTATCTCCTTAGGAGGTAGCATGTCTGAAAGTATCAATCTTTATTCACAGCATGGATAGGAGTTGTCCTGACAGAGCAATTGCAATGGGTAAGCTGAGAATTGTTCAAGTAGGTCTAAGTATATTCACCCTACAGCGCATTATATAATAGCAGAACTTATTATTAAGAATGCGTTATTTCAAAATAGCTAGAGGAGGGATTTCGAATGTTCTCACAAAAAAGAAATTATAAATGTTTGAGGTGATGAATATGTTAATTACTCTAATATGGTCACACATTGTTTACATGAATTGAAACATCACTTCTTAGAATAATTGCAAATATTTATGTGTCAATCAAAACTGAAAATAAAGGTGTGTGTTTGGTTTAACTACTTGGGACAGTTGTATTCCTTTTTGGAGTGCCTGGGTTCAAGTCCCAGTGGTACTCCTGAGTCCAGCTTTAATGCACAGCCTGGGATTCAGTAGATGAAGGCTTCAGTGGTTGGTTCATGCCACCCATGTGGGAGACCTCGATTGATTTCACAGCTCCTAGCCTTGGCCTTGTCTAGCCATAGTTATTGTGGGCATTTGGGGAATGAATCAGCTGATAGGAGATCTGTGTGTCTCTCTGTGTCTTTCCCTATTTTTCAAATAGCATAAGTAATAAGATAATGTGAAAATTGAAATATAGTGGAAACAAGCATACGAATAGGGATGGGAGGTGGGCATTTGTTTCAGTTGTTGAGATATCACATGAGATACCTGGATATTGTATCAAAGTGCCTAGGTTTGAGTCCTGGCTTCACTTGTAATTCTAGCTTCCGGCTAATACAGATCCTAGAAGCCAGAAGGTGATGGATCATAAGCTTGGGTCCCTGCTTACCATGTTGGAAACTGGGGTTGAGTTCCTGGCTACCAGTTTTGGTCTTAAGGCCTGACTGTACTGTACATTTGGAGAGTGAACCAGTGTATAGGAGCTGTACCTTGAGGAACTCTGCTTATAAATAAATAAATAAATAAATAAAATGTAGGGCTAGATAGATGACAAGTATTATGTACAAGTTTTGTTCAATTTTTCAACTATTAGAAAAGAAAAAGCATTTCAATGAGTGTACATTGTGGACATGCAATAAATATGTTAAAAAAGAAGTGACAAGTGCAAACTATCATAGGCAAGTGAATTAACTACTGTTTGTAGTTACTTATTGACATAACAGCAGACAGACACCCTCCCCGTCCCCAAAGTCGTCAGTCGGTGCCAGAGGCCGCTTTACTGACGATGGCTCTCTTCAGAGCACCTTTGACATCCTTGTTCCTGAGGGTGTAGATCAAAGGGTTGAGTAAGGGGGTGATAAAGGTGTAGACGAGCGCGATTTTGCGGTCCTCGTCCTCCGAGGTGCTGGACCGGGGACGCAGGTAGACCAGGCTGCAGCAGCCGTACTGAAGCAGGACCACCGTGAGGTGCGAGGAGCAGGTGGAGAAAGCCCTGCTGCGGCCCTGGGCAGAGCGGATGCGGAGGATGGCGCGGGTGATGAACACGTAGGAGACACAGATGAGCAGGAAGGGCACCGTCAGCACGAGGATGCCCACGAAGTAGAGAACGGCCTGGTGCACGTGGGTGTCAGCGCACGCCAGGCGCAGGACTGGAGGCACATCGCAGAGGAAGTGGTTGATCTCCCGGCGGTGCCCACAGAAGGGCAGGGTGAAGATTAAGGCGGTGAGCTGCAGGGAGAGCGTGAGGGCCAGGATCGTGGAGCCCACCACCATCTGAATGCACAGC